TCGTAATAAAGACATAACACATTGAACGTGTTGGTTATGTCGAACGTTCGATGTGTCATCATGAGAATAATGAACTTTCTGTGAAAAAAAGTTGATAGTAAAAGTGAATAAATTATGTACATAGATGAAAAATATCCATATAATTTGTATTTCCATACTAATTCGTATTCCATATTTTGGAAAAGTTGGCCGGTTATTTGAAAATTTTAGGATCTGTTATAATAGCGATATACTGATTTCCAATCATATTCATGAAACAGGATTGGAGAAACACTTAAAGAAACCATAATCCTCACGAACAAAAATGAAACATTCCAAAAAAAGCAAGCATTTGCACAGTTACGAGTATACTATACATATCTGCAGCACTTACTTGTATATCATTAGGTATGAGAAATAAACTATTTTATATACCGCAAATATTACTCCCCATAATATCGTAATTATTACGCTATTATAGTAAAAATTCAAAATATGGCTTCTGAAAGCGCTTTGCATAAAATTGAATTAAGCTCTGAAAATATTAAGAAGCTATGACAAAGAAAATAGATTTGGAAAGTTGTTTTCAGTTGAATTTAATATAAATAGAAATAATAATAACATTTTATTTCGACACCAATTGTCACCACTTTATATATTCAAAATTATATTTTAAAGCTAAGGGTATGAAAATGTCATACAAAATGGGTTATTTATGGGTCAAAAATTATACGATTTTTCTACGACAAAATCTGAATAATAAAACCTATTTTTTTATAATTTTGCTTTAAATTCACTTTTTCTTTTACCTTTACTCAAATTTTTTATTTTTAAACTCACTTACAAGTATTTTGCTTTATTTATAACTTTAATAATATTGAAAAATTCCACAATTTTTTTAATTAATTTAATTTTTAAATTCATTCTTTCTCTAAACTCAACTTCTATAATTAAGTTTTTATTTTTATACCCGTACGAACGTATGTTCGAAGGGTATACTAAATTTGCCTTACCGTTTGTAACGCTAAGAAATAACGGTGTTAGATATAGACTCAAGTGTATGTTTTTGATCAGCGTCAAATTCTGAGTTGATTTAGCTTTGTCTGTCCGTCCGTCCGTCCGTCCGTCCGTCCCAACGATAACTCAAAAACTAATTGAACTAAGTTCACCAAATTTTCACAAATGATTTATTGTAGTAAGTGCCAGAACCCTATTTAAATTGGACATGATCGGGGTACCGGTTCGGGTAGCTGCCATACAACCTCAAAAATTATTTGGCTATATTTCAGAAACTATAAAAGCTGTGATATTGAAATTTCACACAAGTGAATATATTAGTAGGGCCGATGTGTCTCGTAAAAGTCGTTGAAATTACTTGGCTCCTTCTGGTACCTGCCATACAACTTCAAAAGTTATTTGACTATATTTCAGAAACTATTAAAGCTGTGATATTGAGATTTCACACAAGTGAATATATTAGTAGGGCCGATGTGCTTCACAAAATTCGCTAAAATTTCTTGGCTCTTTCTGGTAGCTGCCATACTACATCAATAGAAGTTTGGCACAACCAGTATTTTGAATAACACATTGTACTGAAATTTTGCATAAATTAATATGGTAATACGGCAACTTAAAGTCATAGTCTGCCCCATAGTTAGTTATGGCACATTAGTTATTCGCACATAGGATAACAAATTCGTACGGGTATCACAGAGTTGACAGGGTCAACTCTATTTTTTTTCTCGTTTTTATTCTATTTTTTTATGGAGCACATTATCTTGTTCACAAATTTTTTGGTATAGTACAATTCTATATAATAAGATTCAAAAAAACTACATTTTTTCGTAAACTATTATGCTATTCATTAATAATTATCTTTTTATCTAATTTGTTACAAAATTTTACAAAAATGTTATTAATTTTTGAAACAATTGATATTTATTAGATTCTAGAATTCTAGAACTATAGATTTTATAATTCGATATAAATATTGTAAAAATTATCAGTATTACACTGAAAATATGAAAATGATCATTTTTACTGCTTTTATAAAGCGAAAAAATTACCTTAAATTAGCTAATCTAAATTTAAGTTATTATATAAAAATAGTTTATGTTAATAATCTATCATATCTTTTAATCTATAATATCTATCTATAACCTATAATAAAAGGGATAATAAAATAAAGTTGGGTCAAACCAATGGTTTGTATTGTAGCACTTTTCCCTTCAACAAGTGAAAATTCTGCTTTTAACTACACTATGTATACCTATCACACTATTAAAATTATTTTCATTTATATACAAAGCTATTTCTAGGATTGCATATATTTAGAATGATGCATACATGCAGTCTTTGAAATAAGAATGTAGAAGTTTAAGAATGTAGAAGTTTTGTAAACAGACACACGGACAAACGGACGGACGGACGGACGGACGGACAGAGTGAAACTAATAAGCACTTTTTTTCAAAAAATTTTTGGAAAAGTGCTAATGAACCTTAATAAATTATTATACGTATGCAATTAATATCTATAGCCTACGAATTAAACTTGATCTTTTAGGAGCTTTAATTAGTTATTATAACTTTGAGGTCCACATAGTTGTTTTTTATGAGATTTGGTTGCTCGAACATGGTTGCTCCTCATACTAAAAAAATACTAATTTTTTTAGTATGAGGGAATATAGTTCGTGCTTTTCGAATCAGAAAGAACCATATGGTATGGGGTTGCAACATATGTGCATGATAGGCTCGATTCTGAATTTGTTCGAAATGGAAGATTTTCCTAGAACCAACATTTTAGTTGTTAGATTGAATACGCTTAATATAATAAGACTATATCGATCTCATGAGACAAATACAGACGATTTTATAGATAAATTAGATGAAATAATTTAATACTAAATTACGAGTAGAGAATAAGAATTATATCAATAAAATTAAATATAATACAGGCAGCAATCAAAGTGCAGATACCACAGAATTTAAGATCCTTGAAATTGCAGGTAATGTAATTCACAATGAAGATGAAATATTGAAGAAAATGAACTCATTCTTTGTAAATGTCACTCTATCAAAACTTCGACGCTACCAATTGATGTTAACTATTTAAGTAGTCCTGAGTCGGTCTGTCTATGTGTGTACGCGTGTATCTCAAGCTCAGGTTTATATTGATTTTAAAGAGCTTCATCTACAGGCTAATGATCTTTCCATTTTCAACATAGAAGAATTTAAAGGAAAAATACTGGATATTTTCGAAGAAAAACTAAAAGATGCTACTTGTCGATATAAAATGAAAAATGACTTCTGTGGCAACTGCATTAGGTATTTGCTTCAAAAGTTTTAATTTATTCAACATGGAATATCCAAAAAAATGTTATTTAGTTTGGTTTTTTATACAAAAATATTTTTATAATTTAAAAACTAAATATGACAAAGAAAGTATTCATGTTAATTGTCTTATTAATGGTCTAAAATGAGTGTAATTTAATTTATATTTTCAAAACTTAATTATTTTTAAAACTTAAGTTTATAACGAATATTAAAAAATTCTACATACATTATATAAAAAATATTTGCTGAGAATATATGAAACATAAATATAAAAAATGTTTGATTAAGACATGATTAATTTTAAAAGAAATATTTTATTAAAAATGAAATAATAATAATATTTTTATTTTGATTTTCTACAATAAAATAGTTATGTGTTTAATATTTTATATTATAAATTAGTTAATAACTTTAAAATGAAATTAAATTTTTGATTAAATAAACAGTTTTTTTTTACTTTGACTTTACTTAATAAGTTGACAAATTTGTATTATAGTAGATAAGATACCATTTTTGAGAAAGACATGTTAAAGTAACATGTTTAAATGTTGTTTTTTCAATTGAATATAATTTTCATTATATTATTAAGAAATTTGATTAAATCAAATTTGCTTTCTTAAATTGAAAAATGAATTACTAAATTTTTGAAACATGCTACACAAAGTCTGTTATTAATAAAAATTGAAAAGCTAAAGTGTTCTAAACTTTTGGTAATTCAGTTTTAGCTTTCGTAGAAAGGAATTAAATTTAGTTAAGATATTTTTTAACAATATGATGAAAATAATATTCAATATGAGAAACTACATTTGAATAAAATGTTTGTCAAAATAATCAAATAATAGTCATATTGACGAAAATGGGACCTCTAAGGGATTTTGTCACTAAGAAGAAAATGTAATCGTAATGACGAAATTACGATTTAGTTACTATAAAGAAATTTTCATCTCATTGACGAAAAATCAGATGGAAAAATTAATATTCATTATGAAGCAATTTTCTTCCCATTGAATAAAACTACGGTGACGAAACAAATCGTCATCTGAAATAAAAGGAAATAGCTAGTCATCAATATGACAACGCTTTCGTCATCAGAAATACATGTTTTATTGAAGGACCAAATAACTACAGTTTCGTTACGACAATATACGATTTCATCGTATATACGAAAGAATTTTTTCAGTGAATTGTTTTATGTATTTACTATTTTTGTTTTTTCTAAAAAATGTTTTGTTACCTGCAATTTATTATTCTAGTTTGCAAGAACATGAAATTTAATTTTTTATTATTTAAATGAAATAAAATAAATTCTGTATATATTCTGTAAATATATTGTTTTTGTTTTCCAAGCATTCCAAATCTCTATGAATATTTCCAATTTATTCGAAAATATCTAATATAAAATATATGTCCTAACAAAAATCAATCAATTGATTTGATGACACGATGATCAATTGTCAATATACAGTCTATGTATGTACTAGTAAATTGTGTATTACGAAGTCTTATATAAAGATGTCTCTGGTAGATCAGATGGATGACGTAATCAAAGGAACGAGTTAAAGGTAGAAAAATTAAAAAAAAATTTTTCTCGAATTGTACTCGAACCAATGACTTACCTCTTTCTAGGCGGACTGCCAACTGAGCTACAGAGGTATGCAAAAATAAAACTATTTTTATTTTATTCTTACCTTTTTACATCTAGCTAAAGCGATTATTGTAATTAAATTTCCTGGAACACCGATTAATATAAATATAATGCAACATACAGATGCAAAAGTTAATAATCCTTCTGAGTATTCTTGAAATAATTCATCTTCATTCGGTGATGGTGTTACTGTAGTAATGCTACTCAAAAATTGTGTTGTCCTATCTCCTACAGTATAAAAACCACTGTTGCCTAAGAAACCATTAGCATTTGGACCACCACTCACTCCACCTTCACGAATACCACCGCCTCCATCGCCAACAAAATCTGTATATACATATATTGAAAACAAAGAATAAAAATGCAATAATGTTCGAAAAAAAAAGTATTCTTGAAATCTAACTTTTCTTGAATATTTTTTAAAAATTTTTAATTATTAAAATTAAAACTTAATTAGTGAAATTATTAAAATTAAGCATATTTAATGTATAGTTGAGGTGAAGAAAAAAAAACAATGTATGTATGTAAAAAATTGAAAAATAATTAAAATTTTCTAAAAAGATAAACGTAATTATTTTTGTGAATTTATTAAAATGTTTTATTCCTCACTATTTTTCTCTTCTCTGTATTTTTACTTTTGATTAGGAATGGATTTAATTAAATCACTCAATTATTTTTAAAACTGTAATCAATTAAAACTTTTTCAAAGAAAGAAGTTTCAAATTTTAATTATTTTTATTTTTAAATTTATTAGCATAAATTTCTTTTCTAAGGATCTATCAAAAAAAAATGAACAGTTTTAGATTTCAAGGAGAATTTTTCATAATTTTCTTTAATTTAAAATTCCTTTTTACAATTAAAGTTAAATTCAAAGAAATATTTTAATTTACGCCTCAAGTATTTGAGAAATTATTGCAAACATTTTAGACGTACTTTCTTTCGAATTCCAAATAAATTTTTGGCAATTTGTAAATGAATAATAAAAATTAATTTGTAGCAAATTATATGATTGTTACTCAGTTTTTAAAAATCATGAACGTTTCTAAAATATTCCTAAGAAATTATAGCATAACGTTATTTCAAGAAAAGAAATTCATGATTGTGAAACAAAGTATTTCGAGTTAATCAAATTCAAAGTTTAAGTATAATTTAAAAAAAAATGGTTTTTTTATACTTTTCTCTACAATTATGAAACAAAATGAGATGTATCTCTTTGAAACTAAATGAGCTAAAACTTTGATGGAACATATATTGAAATAAGAAAAATTCGAATTTATAACGAAATTAAACACTGCCAAATCTGGCTTAGAAAGTTGTTGCTTACACAGAAATTCATTACATTAAAATTATTCAATTTTTAACTAACAAAATTTAATATTCTCTTACCTTTAAATACATTTGTTGAACTAATATTTGTATTGAAATTTAATAATGGTTCAAAATCATTGTTGATGTTACCAGTTCCATGTGATACATTTGGAAATCCTGTTAATCTTTGATAATAACTATCCATATTTGTTTTTTCCATTTTTTTAATTTAATTTACATTTATCTATGAATTTCATATAATTTAAAATTAACTATATTATGTATGTATATTCGTTATATGTTTCCTCAATTAATTTGAGTAATCAACTTTAATGATGGCCGCAAATGTTTTATAATATCACAATTATTTGAATTTTTTTGTATGAAATTTCATTAAGTTAAATTTTTGTTTTTTTGTTTTATTAATTCCAATTATTTTTGAAATTTAAATTTTGGTATCATATATTTGTATTATATTGTGAAAATGTTGAAAATTTTTTAATTTAATTAATTATTTATAATGAGAAAATTTAATGGAGAATATTTTTTTGAGAGAGTAATAAAATTGGCTTGGATAACAAATTATTTTTGTTATTATAAATGATATTTGAAATTTTGGCAGTATTTTAAAATTGAAATTTTGTATTCATACTGAATATTTTTTATTTTGATTAAAATTATATATCTATTTAGATATTCAATGCGTTGTGAGTATATGGAACTGAAATGAAAAAAATGAGATAAAATATTAATTTAATTACTTTTTCAAAAAGGAATTAAAAAATGCAAAAATTACATTAAAAAACGAAGAGATAAAAATTACCATGTGATTTAACATAAATATCAAATTACAAAAATAGGGAATTTACATAACAGATCAACAGTACTGAAATTTTGCATAAATTAATATGGCAACTTAAATTCAAGAAAATAATTTTTTGATTAAGGAGCTTTTATGTATTTTAAATTTTTGTTGTACAAGCTAGGTTGAGAATTATTATTAATATTAATTGTCAATTATTTTTAATTTAAGTAGTTGCTTATAATTAATTATAAGAGGTACTTGATTTTTGTTGCTTTTATGAAAAGAAAAGAATTATTGAAATTGAAATTGAATTAAAATTGAAACTTTTACTCATAAACGTCAAATCTACCGATAAATATTCATACCCGTACGAACGTATGTTCGAAGGGCCAGAACGTATGTTCAAGCGCCAATGTGTCTAATAAAAATTGTTGAAATTGCTTGGCTCGTCTGGTAGCTGCCATACAAGTTCAAAAGTTATTTGGGATTATCTCAGAATTTATTCAAGTTGTAATATAGAAATCTCGTGAAAACAAGTGTGTGATGTGGGCTGTTATATGTGATAAAAATCATTGAAACTTCTTGACTCGTTTCTCATAGAAAATATTGAAAACACAGTACTGAAATTTTGCATAAATTAATATGGCAACTTAAATTCATAGTCTGTTCCATAGTTAGCTCAGGCATATTTATTCGCAAATAGGATAACAAATTCGTACGAGTATCAAAGAGTTCACATGGTCAACTCCATTTTTTATCGTTTTTAATATATTATTTACTTCATTAATGAAGTATATTTTAAACACAAAATTGATAGTGTTAGAATATGTATTATGTAAGGTATGTGCATAGTATAAGAGTCATCATAACATACATTATACTCCTATATGGCAGTATACACGTACATATATAATACATCGACCATGTGTGTAACCTTGTGTATACATATTTTTATTTCTATTGACAAACAGAAACAAACATATTTTGAATTTAATTTATATAGAATATTCTCCTTTCTTATATTTTCTCTTATAAGCCGAAACAGAAATAGCAACAACCTCCAATAATAAATTATATGCATATATATGTAGTTAATAATAATGCTGGTCCTTATATTGTTCTATTAAGAACAATCTTTCTAATGTTAATATAAATACTGTAATCCATGTTAAATTATCCGTACAGGGTATTGTAAAGAAGTTTTAAATGTAAAGAATGTTAGTGCAACCATATATGTATATGAATACCACAGATGTCTTTATTCTACATTATAGAAGTTTATCATGAATACCCATTTATATATGTATAATGAAAATATGTGGTATAGATTTATTTATTATTTTGCTGCTTGTAATGAGCATATAGAAAATGGTATAATATTATAAACACTATTATTGTTTATTAAGAATTAATTATAAACACACACGAAATGTAAGTGTTGTTGGTTGTGTTTCTTTAATATTTCATTTCATTCCATTTTTTGCTTCCGAAAGGCTACAAGTACATGTACATTTTGAATATTATTAAATTATTTATAAATGAATACCTACTTTCTAATTACAGGAATTATAATTTTTATCTTTTACACAAGTAAAAATTAGCAGATAATTAATATTTGATTAACTTTAATCAAATAAGTTATTTACGCTCTTATGCATTTGATTTGAAATTGTTGAAATTGCCCATTGAAATTACGTTATAGTAACAAATTTAAAAGTACGTTATATATTATAGAAACTAATGAAACTATACAGTGCTAAAGGTACAGCAAATGTATAAAATAGCATTATGTATGTATATAAAAACGAGAAAAAATAGAGTTGAGTTTGTCACCTCTGTGATACCCGTACGAATTTGTTATCCTACGTGCGAATAAATATGCAATAACTGACTATGGGACAGACTGTGACTTCAAGTTGCCGCATTACCATGTTAATTTATGCAAAATTTCAGTACTGTGTTTTCAAAATACTGTGTGTGCCAAACTACTATTGAAGTTGTATGGCAGCTATCAGAAAGAGCCAAGCAATTTTAACGAATTTTATAAAACACATCGGCCATACTAATATATTGGCTTATGTGAAATTTCAATATTACTTTTGTTTTTGTGTTTTTGTGTTTTTTTTCAATATTACTTTTTGCTTTTGTAGTTTCTGAGATATAGCCAAGTAACTTTTGAAGTTATATGGCAGGTACCAGAAGGAGCCAAGTAATTTTAACAGCTTTTATCAAACACATTGGCCCTACTAATATATTGTCTTGTGTGTAATTTCAATACCATAGCTTTTCTAGTTTCTGAGATATAGCCAAATAAATTTTGAAGTTGTATGGCAGCTACCCAAACCAGTTCCCCGATCATGCCCAATTTAAATAGAGTTCTGGAATTTACTGCAATAAATCATTTGTGAAAATTTTGTGAACTTGCTCAATTAGGTTTTGAGTTACCGCTGGAACGGACGGACAAACAAAGCTAAATCAACTCAAATTCAATCAAAAAAATACACTTGAGTCTATATCTCAGACCATTATTTCTTAGCATTACAAACAGTAAAGCAAATTTAGTATACCCTTCGAACATACGTTCGTACGGGTATGAAGAACACTTATAAAAATATACTCGTACATATATATATGTACATAAAAACAGTGAGGCAATTTACATACAACTTTTAAAATCATTCATTCATACAAATTGTGATGTAAAGTACGAATGAATGACTTTAGTTAATTTTCAGTAATATGTAGTTGTAGTTTTTACAATCTATTGCAAATACACAATATTGCAAATATGTATAATACAAGATTGTAGTAAGAAAGTGTAACTATGTAAAACCATAGACATACATATATTATGTTATGTACGTATGATTTTTTGTATTATATTGTGTTATATATAATTAATGCAAGTGATATTATAGATAGAATCACATTGATAATTTTATATTTTTTACCAAATACTCGATTGAAACAAATGTTTGTACTACAGCGATATTTCATTCATAAACTAGATATATGTATGTATATAGTTGTATGTAATATAGACACAAACTTCATATAAAAAAGAATACATAAACGATTATGTAAAGACTGCAAGGAATCAAAATAAGAGACTAAAAGGTGCTAGTATGTAATTTTTTTTGCTGTAATAGTTTAACAAACAAGTTTGTTTATACATATTAGATTGCTTCACTGCTTTAAAAATCAACTTAACTTATGAATATGAAAACAAAGATTCCATAAAAGCTTCCTGAAATTTCAAACTACTAAAAGAAACTAAAATTTTATTATTGCAAGATTTTGTGTTTCGCTATTTTATAATGCAACAAATTTAAAATTTAAAAATAGTTTTGTTTACATTACAGAAACTCGAAAAATTAAGATAAAAAGCAAAATGGAAATAATAAACTTTAACAAAGTCAAAAAACATTAACCAAAATTCAGATATCTAGAAAATTCTTTTTTTAATAAAAAACATTCTGCTAAAAGTCAAATAAAAATTTTTCATCATTGAAACAGTATCAGAAATAAGTAAGAGATACTATGAATTGAAACATTTTTTGGTTAGATACACCGAAATCAAATTTTCCAGAAACTAGAAACAGAACTATTTCTAGGATTGCATATATTTCGGCTGAACGATTTATGCAGTCTTTGAAATAAAGCACAAATTAATATAAAAAGGGGTTAACATAATGCTCGATTTTAAGGATTAATTGTGTGAGTTAAGAAAAATAATTATATTTTTTAATGTCATGTAATTTACCGTTAGCTTTTTACATTTATAGAAATTTGAAAAAGCTTGCGGTTTCGCAAATATTAAGCGTCAAAAATTCAAATTTTACAAATTTCATGAACCCATAACTTGAGAGGGGGTTGAGGTGGAGAAAAATGTTCTTCTAACGAAATGAACTATTTATGAATGTCTAACAGATGTAAAATGTCTAACAGATTTCAGGCTCCTACAACGTAGGGTGTTGAAGAAAAACGTGATCAAAAATTTAAAAAAAAAAACTGACTTTAGATAACGGTACATTTTAGTGGCCATTTTGTTTTTTTAAAATTCAAGTATAGTATGCGGCGATAGAGGAAGTCAGCCAATATATTTCTGAATTATGTTGTAGGGAAATAAGTTTCTGTTCTATAAGATCTATGTACGAATAAAATTTCAGCTTTCTATCTTCAAGGGTGTAGAAGTTTTGTAAACAGACACACGGACGGACGGACGGACAGGGTGAAACTAATAACCACTTTTCTCAAAAAATTTTTTGGAAAAGTGCTAAAAAGGGACTTTTTTTCTTTTGGGCACAAAGTAAACATAAAAACAAAAAGTAAAAAAAAAATTTAATTTTAATATTTTGAGGATTTTAAAAAAATATTCAAACAATTTTAAAAATGATTTTGATGAATTTGATACTAATGATGTTGATTATTTTGTCTTACATTTATTTCAATTTTATTTTTTTTAGGACTCTTCAAAAATTTTGAAAGTAAGTACTTATTTATAACTTATACAAGTGCTTTAGAGTTTCTC